TAATTTGTTTTCAATAAAACTTCATTTTCTGTCAAATCTATAAAATCATGATCATTAATAATTGATAACTTAATTAATTAAAAAAGACGTTAATTTTTTTACAATTAATAGATCCATGCAAATGATTTGGTATTGATTTCAAATAAATTCAACAGATGGCGCTAATACATAAATTGTTGATGAAAGGTTTGAATTCTTGGCAGGCCTTAAAATGTTCATTTATAAATCAAATTCAAGGACAACTCATGAAATTTATTAATTAATCTGTTTCTTAAATTAATTTGTTTGGAAATTTTGAATAACTTTAAATATAAACAGTTAAAAATATTAAAAATAAAAAAATTTTTATAAATATCTTTATTCAGACGCTTTCCAAAAAATTTATTTCTATCTACTTAAATAAAAACAAATTTAATTGGAATTCAAAATTAGTTCTTATGTGGTTATAACACAAAAATATAAATGTTATATGTGCATTCGGAATTAAGATTAAAAAAATTAAGATAAAAAATAATTCTCTCGAATAAGCGATATATATATATCCCTTATTCAAGAGAGAATTATTTTTTATCTTAATTTTTCCTATAACAGAATAGACTATAATTAGCATGCATGAAATAGCTTAGAGAAAATTTTATGCATTTTAAAAATAAAACTGCATTAAACAAAAAACACTTAATAAAATGAGTTTGCATAAAAATTAGCTTTAACAAAAATTATAAAATGTTTTTGATTAGAGATAAATTAATAGCAAAGAGAAAATTTTTCTCGAGAACTAACAATAAGAGTAAACTCAATTTCATCATGATGAATTTCATTTTTAATTTGTATAGTGAACAGAGAATGTAAAAAAAAATTAATTGATGATTTTGTAATAACGTAATTATTGTAGAGTATTAATTGACATAGTCAAATCAAAATAAAATTAAATAAAAATACAAAATATATAAATTAAATTAATAATATTCTAAATTAAATAAAAACAAAATAATTTTAAAAAATAACAAATTAATTTTAAATTAATCATATTAAAATTAAATGAAACATAAATTAAATAAATAATATTATAAATTAAATAAAAAAAGAAAAAGTAAATTAAATGTGGCACATGATTAATCTATGATCATTAATAATTATTAAATGTTTTATTACAAAGAAAAAAAAATTCTAATTCATAGCATAGAAAACATAAATTCAAATGTGTAATTATGTAAATTTCATTTAATAATTTATTCATTAACATGCTTTAGTAAATAAATTAATTAAAACACTTCATACTGAAATGCATTAGCAGTAATCGCAGAATAGAGCTCTTGGAAATACACATTTATAGTTGATTAATTAATATAGTCGTTGAGTTAATTGGTGTCGTGACCATCCGAGAGCTCATGCTAGATCATGAATGATCACCCAGCAAGCCAAGGGGCCAAGTTTGAATAAAGTTTCTCTTGAGATACATTTATCTATTATCACCAGGTCGACAGTGTATATTCAAGGATGAATTCAATGCTGCAATTGTTTCTATATCTTGGAGAAGTTCTATACATCATACATTCCAAATCAGTGGTTGCAAGAATGAGATCTGTGGTCATCTAGGGAGACCACGAGGAAATTACTTAGTTGATATTTTGGACTATTTATGTAGTTGCCACACTATGTGATAGGGTAGCTTAATTTCGTGGTGAGATTTGCTTTTCTAAATAATGCTGTTTATAATTTGGATGTTCTATTATCTTAATTAAAAAGATTTTTGAAAATTGATTATTTCATTTAATTCCTTTAGTTTTGTCAATTTAATAGCTTAGTTGATGTTAAGATGGTAATTTGCCATTTAAAAACGCATTTTTTTATTGTTTCGTTATGTTAAACTTTTTATTTATAATTTTTAAAAATAAAGTCAATCAAATAATTTTATTTTCACTCTCATCTTTCTGATTTATCTCTTGATTGCAATTCCATAATAAGTGCATAAATTTATTAAGAGTATAAAAATTTTTAAAGGAATCGACAGGCAAAAAAAAAAAAAAAAAGGTTTTTAAGAGTCCAACGCAGATTAAAATAACCGTTCTATCAAAAATATTTTGAGGACACGAGAAACACGGTGGAATTATTGAATATTATTTCTCTGTCAAAGTCATCAATATGAAGTCAGTTTCAAATAAAAGTAGTTTTAATATGTTGTGAATGGTAATAAACACATTCAGAACTATTGTAAATAAAAAAATTTCAAGTATATCTTTTGCTCATAGATTCATGTTTCAGTTTTTTGGGGAGTTATTGCCGTAGACATTACTTTATGTCTACGGCAATAAACTTTATAACGCAAAATTCTTCTTCATTATATATATATATATATATACATATATATAATGAAGAATAATCCTAATAATGCTTCATATATTATATATATTCGTATTCATATGTATTATAACGAAGAATATTTATCGTATTCATTGTATTATAACGCATAATTTTTCTTCATTACATATATATATATATGGTTAAGATTATTATGATCATTACATTTAATACAATATACAATATGAATACATTATGATTTGAATCTAATCATAATAAATATTTGCCTTTGAATATTTAATTCAATGGAGAGTAAATTTGTAGAACATTACAAATATTAATGGTAGATCGCAATTCCAAATTTTAGCATGTAAAATGAACGATGCTTGATTCTTCGTTATAATGATGTTTTCTGACGTAGACAAGTTAATTATATAACATTTTCCCGTATTTTAATAATATATGTTAAGCATGATAATCAAATTTGAATTATTGCTGGTAAAATAAAAATATATCGTTTTTCAATGAGGGCTATTTCGTCCGGGGGTCCTCCTTTTTAACAAACGACAAATATGTAGTAGGTTTAAAGTTTTCCAAGGTGTACTACACATCTACATCGTGCTACAGTAATTTTGAACAGACATATTCCAATGAGAGTTATTAATTTCTCTATAGGAATCTGGGGTTTCATATTTCTCCTTGAGCCGAACAGTAGCATTTCAGCACAGAAGCGTACAGATGTATCATGCTCATAGCCAGTATAGACATGTAATCTTTCGTTCCGTCATTGCTTATCAGGTTTCGAACTATGCCCCAGAGGATATGATGAACTATATCACTTAACCTCTCACTGGTATCTATACAGCTAGCCCTCCTTGACAGAACAAAAGCATTTCCCTGCATACAGATTTATCATGTCCATATTCAGTATATACACGAAGTCTTTCGTTTCGTCATTGCTTATCAAGTTTTGAACTATATTCTAGAGGTTAGGATGAACTCTATCAACTAGTCTCTCATTGAACCTATTCTGGATTCCATTAAAAAGCAATGTAAATAGTTCGTTGAAAAGTGCCCTCAGATTCAAAACGAACTACTCCAAGCAATTCCAGCATACGACCCTGCTGTGAAAAGTTCACAAAAAGATAACATTTGTCACTTAAAAATTTGACTTCTTCTCCATTGTTAAATGATGGATAATGATGGACAACATTACATGATGATAATGAGTAGTCGTTGTGAATTTGAGCAGCGACTCTTAGTTTTTCTCACCCCAGCTATCCTGAGTATGCGATATTTTCCCATTATTAACCCATTATCTCTCTTCACCTAATTGACAGAATTAATTTCTTTATCAATTTTTATTTCTATCACTTCAAATTTTTTGATGGTAGTTTTGCTCATACATTTAATTGTTTCTTTATTTTTTCTTCTATTTTTGTTCTTTACATTTTTAAGTTCTGAATTTTTTCTTTTTCACAATTCTTGATGTAGTAAATTTTAACTTTATATCTTAATTTTAATATTAATTAAATGAAGGGCTAGTGGCATTTGCTGAAATGGTATTCCAAAAAGAAAACGACAATTGTCCTAATTTAAGTATTTAAAAACAATTAAAACGCGTAAGTTAAAACGCATTCATGTCACATTTAATGTTGTTAACTTAGTTTCTTACCTGCTGTTGTGGTAAACTTGCGTTGAGTGGTCATCTCGGATGACTGTGGATGCTTGCCGCTGCTGACCATAAATAATGGCGTCTCCATCGTAATGTCAGTGACCACATCACCCGATTGCAGTTCCAGCGTTTTGGTGTCCGGTAAATCACTGGACCCTTTCTTTCTGCCATAAGATTGGTGGACCTCTTTCGTCTCTTCGTCTTCGCAACGGACCTGAGGGGAAAAAAATCATTATTTCTAAGTGTTTTATGTTTCATTACTTTAATTATCGAACCATCCTGAAACTTTAATATATTAAACCGCAATGCTTTTTCTATATCAGTATTCTTCTTAATATGGTAATCTGGTTACATTTGATTAACATGCATTTAAGACCACATGCTACAAGCAGATGTCTCAGCACCAGGTTTACAAACTTCTAGAAATACACTTGGATGACTCAAAATCACGTAAAATACAAGGTCGGAAATGATTTCTTATAGCGGCATTGTAAGCAGAAAACATTAGAAAAAAAAAAAAGATACCACATAAGTGTATGTACGGTTTAATAATCAATGCACATCAACGAAAGTTAAATGGTAAACAGTCATGAAGGTGAACTATGATTGCATGCCATTTTCGCAGAATCCTCCAGACTTTTATAGTAGGCATGTCGACATGGTGCACTATAGGTCGTGCACTGAAACTTTGACTGTCCTGTATGAGACCTAGCATAATCTTTTTCATACCTAAAGTTCGTTTCATTTATTCACAACTCATGATGATACAACGGAATAGAACTACTCTGAGATATTCATTGTTGCAAACGTGCGAAAAAGCAATGGCTGGGAGTATACTTCAGTGGATATAGTTCAGCATACAAAACGTTGTGGACCTTGCGAATCACACTTCACAGCTTGTAAGGCAGATGCATATCCATCATTTCTGCATTCGTATGATTAGCCATCCTATTATTACTGTTACAGTGTGTGAAATTATGTATCTCGCTTAGAACTGAAGCACACGAGCAATGTCGTTTATTGTGCCAACGGCCATACTATGCTGAATATACCGGTTCTCGTTAGATCACCGAAGTCAAGCATCATTGGGCGAGGTCAGTACCTGGGAACAGCGCGTGTCGTTGGCTTTTCACAAATTTGGGACCTGAATGACCGAGTGTCTAGCGCTCGGTGCCACAGGCTTCGTGTTCGAATCCCGGCTGTGCCATGGATATTTGTAGTGGTTCGGAATCCACTTTGCTGTAGGTCCCGGTCTCCTATGACTGTAAGAGCGTCACGGAGCCAAAGTCAGACTTCTACCTACGGGTGTTCCATCACAACAGAAGCTGCTTCCTTCCCTTTCAAATCATGAGTACGTATGGGCTCGTGGGCTTGGCCAGCCAAGTAGGATAAGAAACAACAACAAGTATTTCCGGCTGTGTAATTCCGAGTAGCCAAAGTAAATGGTGTTGAGAAGGCCTTGTTTATGGCAAGAGTAGCCTGCGACTATGCCTATGGAGGGGTGATATTGTTGTGAGAGGACCTATTTGCTACATTATGTCATAGATTTATTTGATACATTTATCTTTTCCTTTCTTTCTCCTTTGTTGACAATAGGGAATCTTATATTGACTAAGTTATACATTTAAACATTGATTTTTTATTTAATATCATTTCCATTCTTTATGCCTATCACAATACTTATTTAAAGGTGTATTTTTAAAATTAAGAAGAACTTCCAAAAAAAAAGAACTTTCAATAAAATAAGAATTGTATTAATTAATGAAAATTTTAAGACTTTCAAAAACATGGCAAAAAGATAATCGGATATGTAGAAGAACATCGTATAAGAAATTATTAATGTTAATCTTATTATGCATTAGAAAGTGAATTTGAAATTTATTATTTCTAAGGAAATTTGAAGGAAATATGAATTTTAATATCCAAAAGAAATTCTTACGATTTAATGTATTTCATTAAAATATGCAGAAAGCATAAAATGACATGCGGAAACCCCTCGATATACGCATAAAAATTATTAACTATTCTGATTCTGATTTATTAAATAATTCAAATTAAATTTCCAGCTTCTTTAACAACTTCATAAAATTTAAGGAAGCAACTATATAAAATATTTATATAAAAAGATTTTGAAAATATTTCTAAATTTTCAACTGCATATCTTTTAAACAAATACATAATATATTGGCACATTTTCATGCAATATTCATGAAACACATTTGTGAAAACCAGTGCATTATTTTTCTGTAACATTTCAAATGTATATGAGTGAAAATAAATTTAAATATGAATTATATTATTCAAGTAAAGCTTATTTTAAAAACATATCTTTGGGTTTCCCATGTTCTGTTAAATATCTCCTTTAACATCGAATTTTCCAGTGTAAAAGATATTTTTGTTTTTTAATTACAATTTGAGGGGAAAGTATTAAAATTTTACTATAGGCTTTAGCCAAAAATATTAGGTTTCATAGTTTCTATTACTAAAAATGCATAGAAATCCCAAAAAAATTAATTAAATTCTGCAAATATTTTTTTATTATTATTATTTCTGAATATATAGTAATAATTTCAAATGTTCTATAAATGCATTTTTTTCTCTTCAATAAAAATTATATTGTTAAAAAATAAATATTTGTCATCATTTCCTCTACAAAATTATTTCAACCTGTTGTAAATTCCGTTTACTACCTGGAAACTGACAAAAGGATGCTTTTTCAATTCAAGTTTAATCAACCTTAAAAAATATCTAAATTTCAATTTAACTTTTGTGAAATTTTATTTTAGTTTCATTATTACGTCCTTATTATTTAAAATTTGGTTTTTGTTTTTGTTTTGCTAGTAGTAGTAGTTTCGTAGTAGGCAATGTTTTGTAACGGTATTTTGCTGCCCACTTGTGTGCAATGACTTGAAATTGCTGCCGATGTTGTAAAAATTGCATCAAACTTTACAAAAGAACAGCTGACTATTCAAAAGGCATTTGAAGCTTATCTGAGTCTATCTTCATCACAACAAATGAATGGAATTCACTGACTCAAGGTCTGCCTTACAGGCTCTTAATAAAGGTTTTGCAAAGATGATCTTGAAAATTATATCCCTTTTAGAACAAATTCATTGCTTGCACAGAATATGTATTCAGCAATGGATCCCAGCTCATGTGGATTTGGAATTTAATGAAATTGCAGATTCTCTAGTAGAAGAATGCCAGAAGTCTGGATCAGACTGCCATTTCTACTTCCCTTAAAGATACGAATACCTTGACAAAATTTAAACTTATAATTCTTTCTCAGATTAAAATTAAATACCAAATTACATAATTAAATCCCGTCAGAAAAACAGCTACAATTCTCATAAGAATAAAGATGAAGAACCACAAAAATATAAAAATTTCTGTTGATGGCTTTAAAAAATACCAAAAATGTGGCAAATGCCCTGATGTCGAGCTTACTCCTCATCATGTCTTTGATTGGCCAGCTGTTGCAGCTGCCATATATTGTTTGAATATTTACGAGCTGGCAACCAATATAGCTAATATTATTCAGGAGCACCTGATATTTGATTTTCTTGTACTCTTCAGGGGGATATGACAACAACAACAATAATAGTATTTATTAAGCATTAAAATCTTATTTTTCCATTTATATGAAAATTTAGTTTTGCATTAAAATTAATGCCTTTCAATTACTTGCAAATTTAATGAGTTCATTTATTTTGTTAATATTAAGTAAAAAATAACATTAATTTTAATCCAAACTTCTTAATTTTTGAAAATAATAATAATAACGCTTCGAATTCTTAAAAGAGAATTATGTGTTTATTTTTTCCACTTTCTTTGTGATTATTATTTAAAAATATACATATATTCTACAGAAGTTCTTAAAAATAAAAAAAAATTCTGAATGTTTATTAAACACAATATTTGTTAAGCGTAGAAGAAGTCCGTTCTAATTTTTTCCGAATATATTCTAATGCATTCGAACGCTTTCCAAAGACTTCTTTCTTTATTCTTCTTCAGTGGGAGCAAGATTGTATAAAACTCTAAAGAGATACAATGGAAAACATCGCAATGTTTTGTGAATACAATAGACTCCATTCTGGGGTACAAATGAAAATATCGACAAATGCTTTTGTTGTTCCTCCGTAGTCTTGAGAACGCTTTTATTCGAAAAAGAACGAGGGAAAAAAAGTTTCTGCCATTTCAATTCTGAAACTCATCCCATACCTGCAGAAAATAGTACCAAAAAAAAAAAAAAAGTGCAAAGCTATACTGATTTATTTCTTCTCAATTTGCATAGATCGTAAGAATGATTTGGAGCTTTACAAAAACATCTATCTATTTTATAAAGCTATCTTTTATACTAGATATTCATTTAAAAAGCAAACGAAACTTTTTCGAAGGAATTTCTTTTTGGATTTGGCAGCAGGAGGATATTAAAACGTTGAATGAAGTGTGAATTTTTCATCAGAAGAAGAAAATATGATTTTCTTTTTATCTGATAAAATACTAAATTTCCGTTCAAAAAGTTTTTCTGAAAGATGATAGCGGTAAACAATCGCTGCAGGCTTGAAATATTTTATTAATATACCTTTTAATGCAAGATTTTCTATTTAATAATATTACTTTAATAATATTAAGCGCTGTATTTTCTTAATAAGATTTTAAAGAAAGATTTTGCTTCCTTTTCTCAGTCGCACTTCTTAACATTGAAAATTGACACATATACGCTAGAGCTCTAGTATCCAACCATTGAAATTATGACTATTCTATCTGCATCTGCAGTGAAGAAAATATTCTGATGAGAAGCAAAAGTGAACAGTATCTGCAAATGAACAGAGAATCTGTAGGGATGAAAAAAAGTCTGCAAAGGCGTTTCCAATGACGTACAGTAAGCAGGAATATCATCATGTAGTCTCTTAGAACTTCTTTATTTAACTCTACGTACATAACTGTTGCTTAAATGTGTAAAAGTGCGAAAAGTTACAACAATTTCCTCATTACAGTTATCATTTCCATACGAACGGTGATGGTGTGTGACATTTGAGGCATATCCTCGTCCTGTCTTCTTTGCATAGCATGTAATCTGGACAACCACCCTCACAATTTGGATTTCTTAAGGCTCTTGGCTGTACTGTATCATCTAAATCGATTGCTACAAGATTGTATGTTGCATTTTGTTAAACTGGCCTTTCTCAACGCAAAGGTTTTTGCCACATATTCTAAACAACAAATTTTATCGTGATGTATCTTCAACTAAAAATGGCTGGTTAATGATTATGGAGAGATTAGTACTACTTTATTTACCAGTCAGTATGATTGATGAAGTTTAAATTTCGAATACTTGTGCTGCCATATCTGCCGCCTAAACTATTGATCGCTTCCATACCCATCTAACGTTAATAATAAACGTTAAACGTTTCTAAAAACCTCTCCATTTAAACTGCTAAAACTGCAAAATCAAATTTCTCATATCACAAATTTGGCATTCATAATTATTTCAAAATTCTGATGCTCTGACTATATTAAGATATTTTAATTCATAATTATTTTAAAATTCGGATCAGTCGAAAAGATATTATTTTTATGCTTTATTTCATAAGAACAGATAATTACCAGATAGATGAAGTAGTTCTAAACGTATCAATAAACATCATAATAAACGTATCAATTATTTTAACCTGTTTAAAAAAACATAGTAATAAGTGGTAATTGAAATGAAACAGTAAATATTAAGATCTGAAAAATCATTTTTAAAGTATACTAGTAAGGATCCACCATGTCTTCCCCAAAACAAAATATAGCCAACGGGGAGGGATTGACCCTTACTGTAGACTTTGAACTTTGCATGTTTTTTTTTTTTTTTTTTTTTTTTTTCGTCAGTTAGACTTTGGAATAGAGAATGGGGGGGGGGGGTGTGCGTGAAGGGTACCAGATAGTACAGAGAATAACGGTGGAGAGAGCAGTTCCAGACAGTATGGATGGCATACAAAGAACAAAATGGCATAAACAAACAGCTTTTATGATGAATTTGTAAATACTGATATATAATTGTATTTTTGTGTTATGTGTTGCAGTTGTGCAGTGCTGTCTTTGCAAATTTTAATAAATA